AAAGAAAGAAAGAAAGAAAGAAAGAAAGAATGAATTAATAATAATAATAATAATATGATAAAAATAATTTTAAAATAAGAAGGCAAACTAAAATAAAATTGGATTTGTTTTGTTACACACCAGAAAAAAATATGTAGAAAAACAAAACAAAAACAACAACAAAAAAAACTAAACACCTTGCCATTCAGGGCATTCACGAATATCATGGTTGTATTCAGCTCAGCTTACCACATTTGACCATGTTTTTCATTCCGCAAAAATATAAATCTGCACCTGCTTGTGGGTTACTAGTGTGTGGATGTGTGGGTGTGAGGTAACAATCAGAACAAGATAAAGGTGTGTAGGCGGTGCACCGGTTTGAAAACATTGGCGGTGAATAAATTACTAAGCATTTGAAAAAAGCTTCTTTATGCTGAATGTGCTAGCTAGGTTAGTATGTCTGTGTTGATCCCTATGTTTAGTCACAGTGTAGTTACGTGGGCCTTTAAGAATGTGAGGTGTGTCAAATCGGGCTGTTCTATCTGAGTAATCCAAAACATCTTTAAGCCCACTCATTTAAGTACAGGTGTGTGAGTCAGTGCGTCTGGTAAATGTGGACTGTGTTTGGCCATTGTATGCAATGGGAGAAGAGTGATCTGTGTGTTTGTTTTTTCAGCGGCATGTGTAAACCAATGTCCCGAGCTCTTCGGCTGTGCAGTAGCTGAGGTTGGGGTCATGGACATGCTGAAGTTCCACAAATTCACCATCGGTCACGCCTGGACCACTGACTACGGCTGTGCCGATGATCCCGGACAGTTCAAATGGCTCATCAAGTAGGGATTCCTGCTTTCTGAAAGTCCTGATAAAGTGATGGGTTTGTTGAAACCACAAGCAGTTCTGTCTTAGCCAGGTTCAGTTGAAGGTGATGGTCCGTCATCCAACAAGAAATGTCTGTTAGTCCTTTTAGCAGTGGAGACATTAGCAGAGAATGAAGAGAGGAGTGATATACATTATATACATTAAATACAATATACATTAAGGTCAGTAGGATTTTGTGTTTTTAGAAGAAGTCTCTCTTATGCTCACCAAGGCTGCATTTATTTGATCTAATTTTCAGCAGAAATATTATTATTGTGAAATATTATTAAAATTTAAAATACATTTTTTTCAGTTATAATTTCAGTGTCACATGATCCTTCAGAAATCATTCTAATATGCTGATTTGGTACTCAATTATTATTAGTGCTTAATGGTTATTATTATTTTCATCAATGTTGAAAACTGCTTAATTTTATGCAAACCATGATATTTTTTGTCTGGGTTTCTTTGATGAATAGAAAGTTTAAAGAACAACATTTATTTTAAATAGAAATCTTGATTTAAAAAAAAATCCTACTATAGTTTCCACAAAATATTAAGCTTCAAAAACTGTTCTCAACATTGATAATAATAAGAAATGGTTCTTTAGCACCAAATCAGCATATTAGAATGATTTATGAAGGATCATGTGACTTTGAAGACTTAAGTAATGGCTGGTGAAAAATCAGCTTTGCCATCACAGGAATAAAATACATTTTAAAATGTATTCAAATTCAAAGAAATAGTTATGTAATTGTAACAATATTTCACATATTTCTGTTTTTAGTGTTTTTATTTGATCAAACAAATGCAGCCTTGGTGAAACTTCAAAAACATAAAAAAATCTGAATTATTCCAAACTGTTGACCGCTAGTGTATAACTGTATAACAAACAAGTTACTGTAAATGTCATACTACATGTCCAAAAAAAATAAAATAAATAAAAGTTTGACCTTTTCCTCCACAGGTACTCTCCTCTCCATAACCTTCCTCAGACCCCTCGAGATGGGACCCCTTACCCCGCGATGCTACTGCTGACGGCTGATCACGATGACCGTGTGGTTCCCCTGCACACTCTAAAGTACGTGGCCACTCTCCAGCATGGCGTAGGCCGCAGCCCCGGGCAAACCCAGCTGCTGCTGGTCAGAGTGGACACACGCAGTGGACATGGAGCCGGGAAACCCACCGCTAAAGCCATCCTGGAGGACACACACATCTTCTCCTTTATAGCTCAGACACTGAAACTCAGCTGGAGGGAATGAGAGAGAAAGAGAGAGATGCAGTAAACAGAATTAACAATTTAAGGAAAAGAGCACAAATTATCTAGTGATTTCTAAAGATATTTGGCTTTATGCAGGGACTGAGAGAGGTGAAGGGCATTTGTGGAGTAAGTGAATGGGGATATAAAACATGGAAGGTACTGAACTGATTTTTTTGTAGTAACTTGATTTTTACTTTTGTTTCAGCAGAGCAAGGATCATTAAAGCATGGTTTTTATTAAAATATACAACTGATTTTCTGATCGATCGATTCGTTTTTGAATTACAGCTGTTCAATGTTTTGCAATATCGCAAATATACACTAAGGGGCAGTAAAGGACTACAACAGCCCCTCCATTGCACATACAGGCCAGGGTGGACAACAGGGAACTGTCCCAGGCCGGCCCTCCTTAAGACAGATAACCATTGTTTAAACATTTACCATAGTGAAACTGCTGTAATCACAACTGTAGTAACAGTTTGTGGCAGAACCAGTTATGACAATTATAACCAGTTATGATTATGATTTTGCTTTATTATTAATATGGTTGAAATGCAAAAACCATAAACTATACTTACTGTAGTAAAACCTATGTTAAATTGGTAGTATTCACTACAAATACCACAAAATTATATATGGTTGTAGTACACCATGGCTTAATGTTGACAATATCATTTGCTATATAAATGATATGCCACCGTTAAATTGTGGTAACTGACAAAACAAAACAACAACTACAACAACAACAAGGTTGTACATATATATATATATATATATATACACCTATATAGGTGTTACTATGGTTGTTCTGAAAATATTACAGACAGATAGTATTTGGTCACTTTCTGGTTGTCAAACGTTAACCTGTGTGAACTTGATGGGAAATTGCTTCATTTTGACTAAAAATGAGCTTGAGACCGATCGATTAAAAGTAATTGCAGAAATAGCTCAGTAAAATGAAGTTATCTCTGACCTCTGTAATTACTGCAGGAAATAACACAGACAGTTGAAGCTGAAGTCTGTCATTAGCAGAGCTGACCTGAGATCAGTTCAGATTTGATCCTCTGGATTCGCTGTTTATAGTGGAAATGTAAAAAAAAATAAAAAATACTGGAGAGAAAATACAGGGGAATGCAGAAAACACTTACATTGCATTGTTCATATTGCACATTAAAATAATTACAATAGCGATAGTGTGTAATTATAGACTGTTCCATTACATAATTACAAGTGCGTGCTATTCATTACTGGTGCGCAGTGCTTTTGTAACTACACTGGATACTTGGATACTGTAGTGTAAAGCCTGACCTAGTTGGATACCCGAAATGAGGAGACATGAAAAGAAATAGAAAATCAAAAGCGGGAGCTACTTGTGCTCAACTGTGGTCACAGAAAGTTTAATCTGGGTTTGGCCAAAACCTGAGAATTAATCAGATGACGCGTGACGGGCTTTCAACGGAGCGGGTAACTTGAACTGTGGACCCCACACGTGATGATTCAAACAAGTCTCGGCGAGCTAAAAGCTGAAGAGTCGAGATCCTTCTGGAGACTTTGAAGTTGAGTAAGCTGTTATTTTCTATACAAGTATACATAACAGCAACATTGCTAGTGTTATGCAGCGTTTACACAACAGTTTAATAAACAAGAAATGTGAAAAAAATATAGCCTAGCTTTTGTCTGCTTTCAAACGACGTCACAGGAGATGTAATCTTCCGCGCTCCGAGCCAATCGATTCAATAATTCACATACTCATTCATGAAGAAAGTGGCTGATTTCAGAACTGCATCTAGTTTCATCAGTAATGAGTGACCTGGCCACCAGCAAATATAATATAAAATATAATATCCCGTATTTCGGTGTGAGAAACCGCTCAAACGATCCAGTGGGTGAGTGAACTGTCCTAATATTTCAGACCTTTTTGCAAATCCGTTTGACGTGAAAGAGTGATTCATTCGCGAATCTGGCATCACTGTTGTGATTCTAAACGGCTGATAAAAAAAAAAAAAAACATGAAACATGTTATTAAACCTAAGAATTTATCAAGAATATTTTACTGGGGATCATGCACCAGTAAAAAGGGTCTAGAGATGCCCCTGAGGAGCATATTTACTATTTTTGACACAATTGGAAATAGTAATGCTGTTTTCTATAGGCTAATTCAGAAATTTTGTTATTGAATCAGTGTTTTGAAAAATGTTGTTAATGATCAAATCGATGTGATTACAAATTAAGACAGTAATTTACACCGATACTGGCATATCAATGTAACATTGAAAAAGCCACTTATATATACACACACATATACATATATATATATATATAATTTGTATGTGTATAGGCTACATAAATACACACAAGAACATGTATGTTTACTTCAAGCACGTCAATCAAAAATTAATGCATAATAATGATTGGTTTTTAGCATTTTAGCCTCCTAGAGCATTTAATCACGGTTCACTTTAAAGCCACTAAAAGCCCAGCAGGAATTCCAGAACACGCTGTTCATCTGCTCCTTTCATGTGGCCCTCCTCAGAACAGAACTCACTGTTTGTCACTTAAATACACACACACAGCTTTGACGTCTCTATCCTCAGTGAATGAACTGAACTTTATAGAGTGGTGTTTGGACCTCAAGAGGCGAAATACTCCCGGAGAGAGGCTAGATCAAGCCCCACTCCACTTTGTTTGTTCACACCTGCTCCCGATCCGGATTAATTTCCCAAATCCGATTTGAGGCCTGGCACTCTAACTGCTTGGATCAAACTTTTGTATTTGAAAACTTTCCCCTTCACACCGGCTTAGAGGTGGACCCTTCTTGCTTCTTACTGAAGAGTCTTTTAATCTGAACACAAAAACATGTAAACACTCCCCTACACACACACACACACACACTTGTGCCTTGCTTTCCCACTGTTGGGAGCTGAAGTATTAGCTGGTGTATTTTCTTCCACACAATGCATTTCTTCCTCTTCACACTTTCAGTTCTCCCCCATTATTATCTCCAAGGGATTTTTTAGTACTAAGATACGTGAAAGGAGAGAAACCCTTCGAATTATTACTGATATAAACGAGCACTTGGATCCACTAAAGCTCATAGACATCTTTAAATCTCTTGGAATGAATGACAACTTAATATCTAACAAAAGAATCAGGATTAGATACTGTACATAAAACAGTGGGAAAGACATAACAACATGAAATGTTAAATATTCTGGTGTAATTTCATCCTGTCACTCATATAAAAATTATCTAGCTGGAAAGAAAATAATTGATTAAAAAGAAACCTTTAGATAAAAATACAGAACAAAGAACACCTTTTTGCTTCCCGCTGTTTTTCCGGGGGTTGAAAGCTGACGGGAAATGCTTGATTGCCATGCCTCGACATTGATTACACATGATTAAAATAGACTCCATGTGTGTATGAATTCAGGCAGGTATGCTGGAAGCCAGGACACCGCGAGCAAACACAATAAAGTCTAAGGTACCTGTATTGTATTTTTTTTAATAACATGTTTCAATATTGCTACAGCCATCTGTTCTTCTAACAGGTAAAAATCATGAAAAATTCCAACCGAAAAGAGAAAAATGAAACAAAAAAGGACTTGATTTCAAACAACTTTTCTTCGCGACTCGCCTAATTCAAACAATAAGTAATTTCAACACAGTGAGAGGATCTCATTCAACACATTATTATTCAAACAAATTATAAAAATAGATTGCATTTTCAAATACATATTTACAGTATCAAACAGAGATCAGAATGATACACTTAATGCAAAGGGGGAATTGAGTCTTTTTCGGTAAAGGGCTGTTAAACATTACAGTACAGCATGTCTTTGTCCTTTAGATTTTGAAGTGATGATTAATTCGGGTTATGCCACGTTCAGATATGATATGGCTGCAATAATAACGAATGTGCATCTCTGTATGTGTGTAATTGTAAAACAGAGAGAGTGAAAATGATGCTCTTATCGTTAAATTCCAAAAAGCTTTAATTGTTTATATCCTAAAACTCAATAGCAACCTAATATGAGGAAAAAAAAATCTATACATTTGTTTTGTACTAAATGTATTTGTGGCAAAATCCAGATCCAAACTGTTTGTTACAGCCTTTGTTAATGAGATTTGCACCAACCTGTTTCTATGATCAAACTGTAAATTAAGATTTTACTCAATACTGCTTAAACACATCCAAGTCCAACCAAGTCTTGTTCACACGCTCACATCACACCACACAGTAGTCTAAATTCAATAACACTAGAACATTCAGAACATTCTCGTTTAAGAACAACCACTTCCGTTGTACGAAACGCCAACATCAAGTACTAAACATGTCCGAGAGTATCAGACACCTGCTGTTGTGGAGTGTAATGAAATCTGTAAGTGTGTGAATGTATATGCGTGTATACATCCCTGTCACATCCATTCACTCACTCACTCACTTTCAAAGTGCAGGAAAAAATGAAATTACACAAACAAAACCGAAGAGCATTTTGATGAAATGACAGCTGAACGTCCAGATTCAGTGCTATGTTTTCCATTTTCAAGCAATATTTCTGCATTCAAACTCCAGTAAGCATCTGTAAATGGATAAATAAATCATCTAATAAATATGGTACAAGTTTCTGTAAGTCATGGACGCTGCAGTGCAAGCATTGTCCCTATAGTAGACAGAACAAGAAAAACATTACGAGTACAGATGTCCGACAATACTAATTTAAACTCGGAAATTCAGAAATGAGTTTAAAGTGTGGAGGAAAGAAAGCAAAAAGAAAAAAGTAGACAGTAACCAAACACACAGAGAAAGGGATTTACATATTATTTAAGATTCCTTACATCAGTACTCAACTTATGTGCTGAAGATACGGCGAGATGCTCTCCTAGTCTGAGGAGCAAATGGATGACATGCTCTCGGTTTAGTCCACTTTATAGGAGGATCAGTGGCTACAAAGCATGAGTTCTTTTGCTTGGAAAAAGAAAATACATGTCGCCCTTTTGATTGCTCTGAGATCGGTCAGAGTCAAACTGCCCTTCTCCGGGGACAGTGACGGAGGGCATCGACCACCTTAAAGTCCTACTAAAAGGGACAGAGCTCATGTCATTGATGAACAGCGGAAGAAAAGCAGGTCAAACTCAGCACGCAGGTTATTCTAGAGGAATCCTCTTGCTTGTGATATTGTCCCCCTCAGAAAACAAGAACTTGTTTGTGGAAGAAAAGAACGAGTGTTCACCCAAAGAGAAGATAAAGGAATGAAAAAGGGAAGATTAGGAAGAAAACCGCCATTTGCAGTGTCTTGGTTATCACCTCCTGACCGTTGAATGACCTGCTGGGTAATTATGAGAGCAGACATCCATATGTCTTTCCTCGGTAAGCCAGCGCACTGCTGTGGGTCTGTCAGACTTGCACTCCGCGGCCGTGCATCTGGATAACCTGCGCTCTGAGAGTCTGGATGGCGGACAGGATCTGTTTCTGGTGCTCCAGAGAGGTGATGCCGAGACTCAGCACATCCCTGCAAAAACAACTGAGCAAGTTACACACAAACTGAATAAGAGAAAAGCGTTATTTAGGACTTCAATTCAATGTCACTCACTGAACGGTCATGCGAGCCACTGACTCCAGGTAACAGTATCCAGCAGCAGTGAAGTTGTCTTTGTAGCGGCCCATGTCTACAGCTTCTAACCACTCTCCAACTGAACTAAATGAAGGGAAGGAGGGAAGCGTTCGTTCTGCTAGTGATACAGATGACCCCAGGGTCCTGGACAAACACAGAAAGAGATTTCCGTCTTCAGAGTGAAAAACATAAACACTTACTGGGAAAGTGGAAACGGGATGATTTGCAAGGAGATGGGAACCATGAGAAGCTTTCAAGTACCTGCGTCCCAGGGTGGAGGACCCGATGTTGTCCGGGCTCCTCATGGTCTTGCTGAGAGCGCTGTGGATCAGGGTGAAGGTGGGTCTCTCTGTCCTCTCCTTCTGCCAGCAATCCAGCATGAGCTGGTGCAGAGACGGCGGGCAGTTCACGGGAGCAGGTAACCGGAACCCATCCTCTATAGCTTTTATTACCTGTAATAACACAAAAACATAATTATTGAATATTGACTATTTGGAGTAATGGAATATATTGATTACTGACCCATAAATAATGCAGAATCTTACATTGTAACATTTATTTATTTCAAAATTCTGTTTATTTCCAGTTTGTGAACTCAGGCTTTTAGACCCCATTGTATACAGATCTCACTGATGCATTTTTAATGAATTTTTCCAGGAAGCGTTCTGTGTGATCTCAAAGCAATCAACACTAATAATGAAATTTCGGAGACAAATTAGCAAATTAAATTATTTCATTTCAGTAGGCATTTCAAAATGTGTCCTTGACTAGCATTCCTCTATGATCTCCTCTTTTTATTAGATAGTCCTAAATACCATTTAATTTAATAAAAGTACTACTTAAAAGTCACTTATGACAACACAAACAATATTTAAACCAAATAAATAACATGAAAGATGCATTAATGCCGTTCCCCAGCAATCATTAATTTAGCCATAAACATGGAAATGTTTAGCATTTCACTATCTAGACTACATTACTACTGGGGTCCACTATCTAGACTACATTACTACTGGGGTCCAAAAAGTGTGATGTCCTTCAGCCGGAGTTTATTTCAGATCTTTGCTGCAGGCGTGAAAAGGAGGCCACACGCCGCGTGACTTCTGAGTCTGATTGGTCACGGAGCTGAAGTGGACTTGGAAGTCAAAGTGCACACACACATATACACACACACACTTTATCTGGGGTCTTTAAAGGCCCCTCGCTTTAGCTACTTTAAAATTTTTATACAAATGCATAACTCCTCACTTCACACAGGAAAATCCCATCCTACCAACAGAGAGAGGCAGGAAAGAGAGAGGGAGGGAGAAAAATAATTTAAAATCACAAACAAACGTAAAAGGATTTTTAGGGAGATCTAAAGGAGGAGGAAAAGCAGCCGCCCAAAAGAGAGAGCAAGAGATACAGAGAGGAAAGGTCTGAGAAAGAAACACCAGAAGAAAAGCGATGCAGAACTGCACAGGTGGTGATACATTAGAAGAAATATAAAGGGACAGACGTACGTCTTGGTTGCCCATGTCCCAATACGGTCTCTCCCCGAAAGACATGACTTCCCACATGACGATACCGAAGCTCCACACATCAGAAGCTGAGCTGTAACGATGGTACTGAATGGCTTCTGGGGCCGTCCACAACACCAAACTCTTCCCTCCATGCTGAAAGAAAGACAGACCCTGTTATGTCTAACAAATTGACACAGTTGTGCTCAGTCTTTACGGTTACTACTACTAATTAGTAAGTGGTCATTGAGAAGCAGGTTTTATCTGATTTACAGCACACTAATTACAGAGACAATCTCCACTGAAGCAACCTGAGGTTAAGTGACTTGCTCAAGGCTTCATGAATTGCTCTTTGCAGAGTTTGAACCTACAACCTTTCAATTACCAGCCCAGAGAAACGAGCTACAACAGTGACTGTGATTTTGCTAATAGGACTTGTTCCTTTTTGTTGAAACAAACATACTAAAGGCGCAGAAATGGCACAAATCAGTTTGACAGATTTCTAGCGCAACAATGTAAAAATAAAGAAAAGGAAAAGAAAGGAAAATTGTAAAGGAAAGGACATTGCATAGGAAAGGACATAAGAGAGGAAAACAAAAAAAGGAAAAGGACAGGAAAGGAAAGAAAAAAATGTTGATTAAATGTTGATTCAGGAACACACCCTCAGCAAACACAAAAAAGTGGTATCACGGTGTGAGTGTATTGTGTTGGTGAAAGACAGGCGTATTGTGCCGTACTGTATCCTGACTTCCGTGTTCATCTTATCATAACAGAAGCATGAAGTACTGAGGCGTTCTTAAAATACGCCGCACATTCAGCTGAGTACTTGCAAGAAAAAAAAAATTGCATGAAAGTTTGATAAACTAGATAAGAGCTGTGCTTTGACTTTTAGAGAAATGCTGACAACCATTGGCTCTTCGAACTCATTCAGAAGTGTTTGAGAGTGCTGTGTTGCATTATGGTAAAATACTCACTAGTGTGCTGTAGACCGCCTCTATCTTGTCGTCTTGAAGAGGTCTGAAGCCTGACACTTTGCAGACCAGGCTGCTGTTCACCAGGACTTTATGAGCGGCCAGTCGGCGATGGATAAAACCCATCTCTGTCAGATACTTCATCCCAGACGCCACTCCGCTCAGCAAATCCACCAGCTGAAGAACAGTCAACTGACCTTCGTGTTTCTGTGCAGAAAAAAGAGGGAGAAAAAGAGAGAACGAAAGGAAGGAATGGCAAAAAGGTGGACAAGAGGAAAAGAAAGGACATTGAAGTAGACAGAAAGGGAAAAAGGGAAAGAAAAAGGCATTGCAGAGGAAAAGAAAAGGAAAGGAACATACAATGGAGAGGGGGAAAAGGAAAATTGAAAAAGAAAAAAAATGTAATAGAAAAATAAAGAAGGAAAAAGGAAAGAAAAATGGAAAATGTAAAGTAAGGAAAGTAACATAATGGAGAAGGAAGAAAAAAAAATTGAAAAAAGGAAAAGATGAGGAACAAGGAAAAGAAGGTAGGGGTAAGGAAAGAAAAAAGGTAAAGGGAATTGGAAATGGAAAGGAAAAAGGGAGGAAAACAACAGTTTAAAATATAAACACTAAAATACTTATAAAAACTTGGAACAAATCATACCACTTCCTTTCAAGAATTTTACTTCATCTGACTCTGAGACAAGATAAAATGCCTCACTTGGCTTTTTCCTCTCATTTTCTCTTTTTATCAACAAATCACATCTGCAGGTTTTGTAATGCAACTTAAATATTTCATATATACCATTTACTGCACTATCTCAGCATTTTGCATCTGATGATTCAGCAGAACAAACAGACACAAAAAATACATTCTCTTACCCGCAGGAAAGAGTCCAGGGCTCCGTTGGCCATGCTCTCCACCACGATCATCATAGTGTTGCCTGCAGCAAAAAACAAACAAAAAAACACACATGAAGAAAAAATTGGATCATGTGTTTGTTTAATGCTTCAGCAGGGAAAGAAGACATGGTGGGGTTGTCCAAGGGGCACAAACAACACGTTTTCATAAAAGTGTGAGTGTTATGTAAGAGATTACATGCTGTCAGCAAGTCACTGTAGATAGATAGAACAGTGGAATGAGAGAAAATATGATAGATAGTTTTAGATAAGAAACTGCAACAGACCAATCAGAATAAAGTATTCAACAGCACTGTGTAATAATATCTGTCGTGTCTGTATTTCCAGTGAGCATTAGACAGTGAGTGATAGAATGCGGCCCAAAGAAAGACGAGGGAAGTACGCTCCATTAGGGAGGTGGGTAGTGGTAAATCCCCAGGTGTTAGAGCAATAGAGAGAGCAAGGAAGAGAGGTGGGAAGTGAGAGAGACAGATCCCTCAATCATGTACACCGACACCAACAATCTGCAGAATTCAATGACCAGCCCAATGAACAGGAGGCTGCGCTATCAGTCTGGTCAATCTACCGTCCCCAGCTCCATCACACCTCCTGTGGGGAGGAGCAGACATGCCTGACCAACCCCAATCAGAAGACCTCCTACTGGGCTCTCAGCTCTGGGTCCTTCCCACCTGAGGTGTGGAGGTCTGACAGGTGGGTGAAGAGGAGGGTGTGTAGCTTTCAGGAGGAAAACGGAGATTTGCAGGTGGAGGAGGAGAAGTCAGGGAGAAAGATTAGAGTCATTAAGGGGGCTTGCTGTGATTTGGCCACCAATTATTCCAACGTGAACATCTGCTGTTAAGCTCACTGCACACACACACTTAGGCTAATTCAATCCCAAAATCCCAATTCATTCTTCTCCCCAAAATACCACCGAATAAATGGTCTCTTACTCTTCATTCAAAACAATTAAAACAAGAACCAATTATGCTCTGTTAACGAATCACAATATAAATTTAAATAGCCGAACATTTAAATGGAGATTTTCTCTTACTTTATTCAAATAAGAGTTTTATGTACTATATAGACATACACTACCTTTCATAATTCAAAGCACACCAGACCACCCAGAGTCAGTTCATTTATGAACACCTAAGTGGCAAAAATGGGTGAATTACTACGCAGTACACTACCGTTCAAAAGTTTGGGGGCAAAAAGTAACAGTAAACACATTTATAATGTTACAAAAGATTTACATTTCAAATAAAGGCTGTTCTTTTAAAATTTCTATTCATCAAAGAATCGCAAATCAGCATATTAGAATGATTCCTAAAGGTTCATGTGACACTGGAGACTGGAGTAATGGCTGCTAAAAATTCAGATTTGCCACCACAGCAATGAATTACATTTTAAAATATATTCAAATAAAAAGCAGTTATTTTAAGTTGTAATAATATTTCACAATATTATTGTTATCCAGTATTTTTGAACAAAAAATGCAGCCTTGGTGAGCAAAAATCTTACTGACCCCAAACCTTTGAACAGCAGTGTAGTTGTAAAGGTACAGTATCAAAAACGCACGTAAAATTTTTTGGGTCAGATAAAAAGAGGAAAGTTGTCACTGAAAACTAAATTTCCACTTTAGTTTGGACTTTAGAAGTAGACTTAAGAGTTGCGAAATTACAGAATGTTGCAAAAGTGAATAATGCATTTATTTTATTTTTTTAGAAAATGCAATGATATTGATGACAAAAGAATGAAGAATAACAGTAATGGATGATTTGTTATTATGCACTGTAACAAAGACTGAGATTCACACTTCTGCTGTTGTTTTTACAGTTATTTAGTTCATGATAATACATTTCTATATTTGAATTTAAAACCTCTTTTTTTTTTTTTGCAACTATTTGGTACTGTATTGTGTTGGCACTTGAAATTCTGGGTCCTGAAGCAAAACTAGTTGAGGACCACTTCTCTAACATACACAATATCCAGCACACTTAATGCGTCTCTTCATGCATGCATTTCTATCATTCTCTACATGTAGAATCAATGTTAATAATTCCTTCAGCGCTAATACACAAAGTCCCAGACTAATATCACCACTGCTAGTTCTTTAATTCAGCAAATCTAGCTTCCCCTCTGGTCTTCCCTGTCTCCAAAACACCTTCATCATCCCTCATCCCTTTCGGCAAGAACACGCTAGGCAAATCCATCTAGCTGTTTTATCTCCAGGAACATCACATCGATCAATCTAAAGATGGATCTGTTCTTCTCTCTCCGTACATCTCCACCCCGAGCCAAGTTTCCTTCCATCACGCTTGTTGACTGAGAGTTACCAGTTTCATTTAAGCTGGATTCTCCTCGTTCTGTCCTTCCTGGAGGTGATAACATCTACAGCTCCTCATTGTCTTTGATCTTTTACCTCTGATGATCATCCATCCTGCAAGTATCGACCTTTGCCTCCCTTTCAGTTCTTGCGCTTTTGAGGACCAGCCCATTTATTCAGGGGTCCACTTCCCAATAAAGCATCCAATCAATGGCTTATTCTCTTTTCCATTACTGCAGTGGGACAGCTGGCTAATCCCTCCTTCTTTCTTTTTCAATGGAGGGACATACCATCTATTCTGCCTCCTGAATCTCTTTCAGGTGAGGGCCATCAAATCCCTAATTCCTCTCGTTCTTTGTCTTTCCCTATCCTGTGAGGAATCGTCCCAATCGCCCTACAGCTTTCATTTTCTACAGAGGGACGTCCCATGCATCTCTCTTTTCTTCCTTGCCATCCATTCATCTCTTTGTCTGTACTGACCTCTGGTGATGACTCCCTCCAGACGCACAATGTTGGCATGATCGAACTGTCCCAGAATTCCCGCCTCGCTGAGGAATGAGCGTCTCTGTTTTTCCGAGCAGCCCGCACGAAGGGTCTTTATGGCCACAGGCAACTCGCGTTTACTGGGAAGCTTCAGGCAACCTCGACACACTTCCCCAAAGTCTCCTATAGAAGGAAAGTGTTCACTTGATGTTGATTGTGTTTCATAATATAACATAAATGAGAACATTACTCATCATTTAAAGGAACAGCTACCCAAAATGAAAAATCTGACACCATTTACTCGCCCTCATGCCATGAATAACAGCTTAAATGACACATGAACCACCTTTACGATACTTGTATGGTGCTTACGCTTCCTGTTTTGAAGCTTGAAAGCTCCTGTCCTCATTCATTGCAATTTTATGGACAGTAATTAACATTAGCTGTAGTTTTTTCCAAAGAAGAGAAATATGAGTCAAATGGGTTTGGATACAACAGGAGAGTCAGTAAATGATGACAGAACCTTTATTTCTGAGATGAACATAATGCCTAGTTTACATAGATCTTGACACAGCAAAAAAAAAAAAAAAAAATTCTACTCAACCTGATGTTGTAAATATCGACTTAAATGACATATGGACCACATTTATGATACTCCTATTGTGCTTTTGCTTCTTTTTGAATCTTGAAAGCTCCTGTCCTCATTCTTTGGAATTTTATGGAAAAAATTAGCAGTAAACGTTGTCTTCCAAAGAAGACAATAAAGTCATGTGTGTTTGAACACAACATGAAAGTCAGTAAATGACAATAAAGCCTTTATTTCTGATGTGAGCTAATGACTAGTTTTCATAGATCTTAACACACAGCATTGAAAAACTATAAAACTGTCACAAAAATGAAATGAATTTGCAGGATAGTGGGAAAAGTAAGGAGGTTTTGATGTCTGGTACCTGTATGGACTATCCTCTCGATCTTGATGCTAGAGATGTCCAGCTCTTTGGCAAAGGCATGAACAGCCTGGAGCAAATCTTCACAGGTTTCTGGGTCAATGTAGGTCCTTCTGGTTGGGATTTTAACTGAAAAAATGAAAGAAAAAAAAAATTCACACATATATAATTAGTGGTGCTACACTTACTATTACCACTGATTGATTCACTATTGTTATTGATGAAATGGGCAAAAAAACTCCAAAAAGCCATCTTTAGGTATCAGAATATCATATGCTTTGTTCATACATTTTGGTTTTCAAATCTTGACCATCTACACTGTTATTTTGCAAGTGATCTGACTTTCTTAATAGAGTAACTGTCAGTGTGGAAAGAGAGGATGGAAAGCTGGAAATTTCGCCTCTGCTCATGTCCATCACAACATCTCAAAACATGCATGAGAGAACATAAACGACAAGAGGCATTTAAAGCATTCATGCATATACTGTGTCTAAATGCGCTGGTGCATTAACTCTTCACTATTCACTACATGGTGAATGTCACGTAGTTTGCTGTTTTAAGAAATGTGCTATTTTAAGAAGTGAAAATTATAATTTTTATAAATATATGATGCTAATGAAGATTTATTAAAACAAAACTAATTTATTTAAAAAGAAAATTTACAAAAAGATGACCTTTATTATTTTTCTGCTGTATTCTTTTACTAGATCCTTGCATTATGTCATGCTTCATCTACTCAAAGGCAGTGTGGCAGTCTGAATCTGAAATGTGCTTACAAGTCAACATCGACCCGAAGCAGACCAGGGTCTCAACTTCACATTCTCATAACAGCTTATTGATCTGAAGCTCACATACATACACACATACTTAGGAATACAATTACAAAGCAAATTAATGGTGCTCCATTCCATCATGAGAGTGGATCGAAAGCCTCTTCAACAGGAATGAGGTTTTTCTAGCACATGCCGTATTCACATGCGAGGCTGCTATTACAGTGATTTAGAGGTCCACTTCAGTTCACTTCCTATTAGTTTCTGTTTGGGTTTGTTTTTATCAAACTAACTGATTCAGCCACAGAAGCTTTCATACATACACACCAAGGTTATAGTTACATGATATGCTCACTAAAACTAAAAGTTTGCAAATGAATTAAAGTTAAAAGGAAACTGAAAATATGCACGAAAATATTAACAAAAGCTACAAAGACCGTAACTTTTGACTCTGTATTCTGCCACTTAAATCTGAAACTGATGACACTAGCACAGTAACAACAAAATACTGTGCAAAGTGGTTACATCACAGAATGCTTCTGCGTTCCTAGTGAAATGTTGTGAAAAGCAATGTGAGAGTTGATCCAAAAGGTCTCAAAAACTCATGAATATATTTCAAAGATTCTGTGTCAAGAACTTTGCAAACGTTGCCAAACTAATTGTTGTACGATAAGTGTCCTCAGAGACACCGAAAGAAGATCTTAGCGAGTCCAGTCCATGCTGCTGAATCAAAAAATGCCCTGAAGACACCAGAGTAGAGGCTATAATAATGTAGAAAAAAATTACACAATTATAATACATCTAATCGTCCACAGGTACTGCAGTATGTTGAGTTGTTGTAAATTAAAAATATGATGCCGTTATTTATGCATGATGCAGTTTTTGAAAAGTACTACTGTATGCATGTCTCATTATAGGAAGATTTGTATTGCTGTTTAAGATATAAAATATATTGAAAGCAAATTTATAATTAAAAATAGTCAGCAAAAAAAAGAAAAATCATACAATTATAGTCATTTAGACTATAATTAAGTTTATAATAATTTGCATAACTGACTGTATATGAACAGACGTTTTTTAACAGAAATTCCCAGGCACACGAACAACTCTCCTAGTTATCTAAATGTGAAAAATAAAAAAACATAATATGAACAAAATCAAAGAAACACTATACAGGGAAAAAATTAAACAGAAGTATGTATACGCATACATTTATACACTTAAATGATCCTTTGTACCTTTGCAGACATTCCCCAAAGGAATGCCTTATCAGATTTAGTTCTGCGGACAATTGTGTCCCAAACGTATATAGTAGCTATGTAAATCCCCATACACTGACAACCACAAACCATTTATATGCATATAAGTTTGCATATCTAAAGCATTAAATCCACAGTCGCCGGTTCTACATACACACAAACAAAGTAGGTCTCAGTGATTTCATAATGACAGCTAAAGCACTGATCCCTACCATTGTTTCTAGGTCATCCAAAAATATGCATATAAAACAAAGAGAACACGCATGCAGGGCGAAAAGAGGGTGCGCTTATAGGGCTAGTTGTATAACAGATGGAAGAACAAATCTGTAAAACAAATGACGGTGGGAGACACAGAGATCACGCACGACGGGTCACCAGAACTGAGCCCGGGGCGAAACGAGAACGAGAGAATATCTGTGATGATGCTGATGGGATTTAATTTTGTGAAATGTGAGAGAAATTATTCTTTATGAGACTGTGTGACAGAGCATTGCGCTCATGGTATTATTAAGGAGTTTTCCAGTGGGGAAAAAAACGGAATTTATACTCTTTTTTTGTACTATTTGTACTCTTCTTGTTTTCCATGAATGGTTCTTGTTGGAAATTTCATTCTGTTGCTGGAACGTAAGGGATTTGAGGCATTCCCTAAATTCTTCCTTGAACAGGGAACATCTGGCCTGGTTTCCAGAAAGCACAAGATTGTGTTATATAACACAATATAAACATCTTTTTGTGTGTTTTCATTCATTTACACGTTACATTTTCTAAAATTATTATTGTTTTTTTTCTAATTCTTGTATTACATATAGACTTGTGCCGGTATTCGGTAATGCGATATATCACGGTAATGAATATGCACGATATTGTTATCGTGGGCACTTCTAAATACCGTGAATAATTATATATTACAAATTATTCCGAATTTTGAATGCATTTTAAGAATACTTTTCCCATCAACTGGTCAAAATGCGCAACACGCTGTATGCTGCGTGAAAGACGCGTGCACACTCTGATGTAAACAAGCTCGGACGTGAAGCACATGGCGGAACATGTGAGAGACGCTCTGGATGAAAGCGCACTTTCACACTCTGACAGCAGATGGCGCTAAACTGCAGAAATGATAATAATAATAATATAATAATTCATTTAAATGCAGCCTTTACCCCGGAAACCCTGTAAACAAAGCAGCTGCACTACTTCCTGTTTCTGAATCATGTTTAAATTATGTAAATAGCCATTCAGATTTGTGTATTTGCTATGATGTTCATCACAGCGCCAAATACTTAAATATTTAGACTTAATAGGCTATTTATTTTCAAACTTTTTTTACATTTTAATCTGGACTACAACATGCCCTAGATATTGTTTGAAAGTGTTTTGATTCTTTATTGTTCGGTCACACTTTACATTAGGGCTTCATTAGTTAACATTAGTTAACATAAACTGCCAATGAAAAATTCTTCTGAACATTCATTAATCTTAGGTATTCCAATATTTAATAACAGGTTAAAATCGAGAGTTGCAGCTGTGTTATTTAATGAGCTAACATGAACTAAGAAACTTATTTTTTAAACAAAGATTAATAACTTCTGTAGCAAATGTAGCTACAGAATGTTAATGCATTAACTAAGGTTAACGAATGGTTACTTATTGTAAAGTGATACCTATTGGTCTTTATAGTTCTTTTGCACTTTAATCTGTGTAAAACTTTTAACTTTATACATTTTTCTGTATTGCTTTATTGCATTTAAATGTTCAGTTATTTTTGTTATAAGAAAAAAGTTATTAAACCTGTTATACTGTATTATGACAGCACTTTTTTTAAAAACTAAATTTCAACACCGTGATAATACCGCATACCGTGATAAAAGCATTAGCAATTAATCGCAACATGAAAATTTGATACCGGCATATCCCTAATTACATACCAGTTTCATTTCATTTTTTTTATGCTGCTCTTTTAAGAAATCTATGGAGCCAAAACCAGCAATAAATGCTGATCAACTTCAAACATACCTGTCCTTAGAGGAGCAGCACATACATTTATTACATAAAAACTAGGGCTGTCAACGTGCATGCGATTAATTTTACAATCCTTAACGTGTTAAAATAATTTAACGCAAAATTACTTATCCTTATGGCAATCTTCCTCCTGCATGTGTGTCCATCCTGGCATAATGTGCATATTTGCATGTTAAATACTATAGATCAGGATATAAGAGGTTAATGAAGACATGCAAATATAAGTTTCATATACTGTACAGATATGCTGTAAGACTTGGCACAAACCAGCTCAAAAGTGTATGAAGCTCGCCAGTGTTCATTGTTTCAGCAGATTTAATGCCTCAGCTACACGACTGCTCTGCACAGACGCTCATTACTCACCAAACTACTGCTGCTCTGACATGCTTACACACACATCACATGCATGCACGCACACACATGAATATTAATGTACGTGAAACAGAACGCTAACATCTGGCTAGAGTTTAGAAAGGTTTGAGGGAAAACGGCAGAGAAAGAGATAACTGGGCATCACCAGCACTGTACAGCTGTTTTTTTTTAATGAATTAATTAGATTTTTTGGGCTTTTTGCCACTTTAAAAAATAAAAAATAAAGACAGTGAAGAGGAGACATAAAAGCTCTAATATACATCTGCTTTTCCCCACTTTCAATGTAGAAAAAATGCTCATAATCCATCCATAGAGCTTCCATTCTGGAGATCAGAGATTCTCAGTAAACTGGCAATAATAAAAAGTAATGCAAAAGTAACTTAACATGTTATCCATAAAAAAGTAACGGTGTATGCCTTCCAATGTTCTTCAACACTGGGTGCAGCAGTACTATGGCATCTTTCTTTGTTCAAAGACTGGTAATGCCCTTCCCCCTCTTATCATCACAGAGGGCGTCTGAAACATGCTAATGGACTGGAGCATTAGGCTTGTTGGTGTAAAGGCACGTACATGGACTTAGACGTTAATGCAGTGCCACTTTATATGTCCCTAATCTCTCTTTATCACTGATCACTCTATTTTCCACTCTGTTTTTTTCCCTTTCTCTTCCACCTAAGCTCTCAGTCTCTGACAAGCTATATCCATTACCACCTTCAGAAACAAACCTGACAGTCCAATTGATTTGTGGAATGGATGCACATGTATGCGCGGAAACACAACATGATACTCACACTGGAAGTAGAGTTCATCATCCCCTTCCTGGCTGGCTTTACTGTAGCCACACTGTCTGTGAGGAAAACAAAACAACAAGAAATGACAAGTCATTAAAAACCAAGCATAAAACGACCATAAAACAACTTGCGCTAAAAAAAATAAAACTTCAGCACACAGCCGCTATCGGCTGTAAGGAAATTACAAAACAGCACTTAAAATGACAACTTGTATTATTTACGAACATGTCTGTACTGCCATCGAAACAAAAATGTAACTGAGTGAACTTGCTTAAGACAACAATTTTGTACTTCCCTAGAGATGAAATATTGCTTATTATTTTTCCTCAAAATTGTTTGTTTAAAGAATTAGTTCACCCAATAATAAACAATCTGTCATGATTATATATGACTTTCTTTACAAATGGAGACTTTTTAAGCGCTTTAAAGATAAACTTTAAAGGTTAATTCCATAAAAACACCATAAAAGGGGTCAGTATAATTCATGAACTACATTTTAAGTGTTTTGAAGTGATATAATAGGTTTGTCTGGTGAACAGACCAAACTGAAATCTTGATTTACAAATAACTGTTCCCTCCAGTGAGTTGGTCTTGAGAACCAGATCAATCTGATTCAGAAAAATGAATCATGACAGGTTTTGTCTGATTCATGAGTGAATCATTGCTACTTCTTTTATGAACTCTCATGATTGTGCTAGATTTTCAGTGAATAACAACTTTGATCTGTTTCTTATACAATCATATTGCATCAGAAGATCAAACCATCATCATATGGATCACTTTTATGGTGCTCTTCTGGGTCATTCACATTCATTACACTGAAAAGAAAGGCTGTGATTGTACAAAAGTCATAAAGTGCTAATTTTCATTTTGGGGTGAACTATCCCTTTAAGACTCACTTTTCAGTTCAAATCATTCGTTTAAAAGTATGCTTGACGTTTTATCTCAGGTTTGTAGTTCACGGTGAGTAAATGTAGAGATTTCCTGGTGAACCACTGCTCTGACTATAGTCATAGCGTGAGTGCGAGAAGAATCAGGCCGCCGCAGGATCTGATGGCATTTGGGCGATTTTACGTCGTGGATTAGTGTGACACGGAGACACTGGGGAAAGACATGCACCACGGGAGGGATTAGAGAATAGAGACACACACACACACGCACAGCAGGGGTGGAAAAGCACTCAAAAGGAGACACTGACAAGGTTTTGGAGACTTCATGTTATAGAGCAGGTGCTGTTGTTTGAGTAGAAAGAGGACGCACACCAAACAGACTTTCAACTTTTATGAGTGTGTGCTGGCAGGCATCTGATTAGAGCATTCACAATCTACTCTAAAAAGGTGAGTAAGATGGACAGAGAAAGACACATGCAGGTAGGAGAGACTACAAACAGACTGCTGGGATTTGAGCTCTCCGACCATGTTTACACCTCACATCTTTTGGACAGTGATTAATAAAGGTGTAAACGGGGTCCAAAATGTTTTTGTGATGCTCAAAGCAACGCAAGTTCATAGGTTTGACTCTCAGGAAATGCATGAACTGACGACAAAATATATACATTTAATGTAATGTAAGCTGCTTTGGATAAAAGCATCTGCCAAATGCATAAAAAATAATTATATAATGCATTATTATTATAATAATTATTATTATTATGTTTATATAATGCATTATTATTATTGTTGTTATTACATAATTGTTTATCACCTTTCCTAAGGTTTTTATTTTAAATTAAGTACAAAAATTAGTAAATTAAATAAAATATGTAAACCTTCAATGCAATGCAAGTCACTTTGGATAAAAGCATCTGCCAAATAAATCATTAAGACAGCTTTTGTCAAGCAATTCAATGAAAAGATCTAAATGTCTGATTCATGATCGAATCATTGCTACTTCACTTTAAACATTAATGAATGTGCTAAATTGTCGGTGAATAGCAACTTAAAAGGTTTATCTGTTCCTCATACAATCATATTGCATCAGAAGACCAAACAAGCATCATATGGACCACTTTTATGGCGCTTTTATGTAATTTTCTGAGTTTGACAGTCCTCATTCACATTCATAACACTGAAAAGAATGGCTAGGATTGCACAGAAGTCATAATTAAGTGATAATTTTCATTTTGAGGTGAACTATCCCTTTAAGACTGCTTTGAGGTTAAAAACTACAACACTTTCGGTTAAAATCATTGGTTTAAAAGTATGCATGAGGTTTTATCTCCTGTAGTCCACGGTGTGTAAATGTAGAGATTTCCTGGTGAACCACTGCTCTGACTATAGTCATAGCGTGAGTGCGAGAAGAATCAGGCCGCCGCAGGATCTGATGGCATTTGGGCGATTTTACGTCGTGGATTAGTGTGACACGGAGACACTGGGGAAAGACATGCACCACGGGAGGGATTAGAGAATAGAGACACACACACACGCACAGCAGGGGTGGAAAAGCACTCAAAAGGAGACACTGACAAGGTTTTGGAGACTTCATGTTATAGAGCAGGTGCTGTTGTTTGAGTAGAAAGAGGACGCACACCAAACAGACTTTCAACTTTTATGAGTGTGTGCTGGCAGGCATCTGATTAGAGCATTCACAATCTACTCTAAAAAGGTGAGTAAGATGGACAGAGAAAGACACATGCAGGTAGGAGAGACTACAAACAGACTGCTGGGATTTGAGCTCTCCGACCATGTTTACACCTCACATCTTTTGGACAGTGATTAATAAAGGTGTAAACGGGGTCCAAAATGTTTTTGTGATGCTCAAAGCAACGCAAGTTCATAGGTTTGACTCTCAGGAAATGCATGAACTGACGACAAAATATATACATTTAATGTAATGTAAGCTGCTTTGGATAAAAGCATCTGCCAAATGCATAAAAAATAATTATATAATGCATTATTATAATAATAATTATTATTATGTTTATATAATGCATTATTATTATTGTTGTTATTACATAATTGTTTATCACCTTTCCTAAGGTTTTTATTTTAAATTAAGTACAAAAATTAGTAAATTAAATAAAATATGTAAACCTTCAATGCAATGCAAGTCACTTTGGATAAAAGCATCTGCCATATGCATTTTTATGGTGCTGTTTTTTTCTCTTTTTTTTCTTTTTCTGAGTTTTGGGCAGTTCTCATTCACTTTCATTTAAGTACAAAAATTTGTAAATTAAATAAAATATGTAAACCTTCAATGCAATGCAAGTCACTTTGGATAAAAGCATCTGCCATATGCATTTTTATGGTGCTGTTTTTTTTTTTTTTTTTTTTTTTTCTGAGTTTTGGGCAGTTCTCATTCACTTTCATTACACTGAATTAGCAGAAGTTAATATAGTAATATAAAATAATATAAAACAATACAATAATAATAATATAAAAAAATATTTTTATTAATAAAAATATTATGAATTTAAAAATGATGTTCAATTATATGTCACGTTCCTAAGATCAAGGCTGTAAACAGTAGTCCATCCTGATTTGACAGCAAAGACCATCCACTTAGCTAGCGATCATCCCTTTGTTACAAAAAGAGTTTTGAACTTTGCTCCGAGTGGCTTTAAAAGAAAATATTTGATCGGATTAAATGGAAAACCCCATACAAAGTCCTCAAAACATCTCCGTTATGGCTGACATTAATAGATCATCAATAGTTCATCACACAAAAGTTGCATTTGTTGACTTCCTCCCAAAATAACAAAATGGTCATGCAATCAGTCTCAGCTGACCACCTGTTAAGGATGTTAATAGCAGGTGTAAACACGGCCTCTGTAAGGAAATGGAGTGGCGAGACAGACAGGACAAACGAGAGGAAGGAAGATGAAGAGAAAGGCAGCAGCAAGGGAGGAGGGGTAGTGGAGAAACGCAGGCATGCCTGTACCTGGGAGACAGCTGCGTGGAGGGAGGAAGAGGAGGAGGAGGAAGAGTAGAGAAGGAGGTAGAGAGCAGCACCACACGAGTAGGAGCTACATTGGAGGGTCTGGAGAAGCCACTAAAGGAAGAGAGGGAGGAAGGGCCTGAGAGTAGTCTTCTTACTATTGTCATCATAGGAAGTTACTCACTAAAGTGACGACATCACTTCCTATCACGCCACCTGACTTCTAACCTACTTACAAGGAATTATAGTAACACTTTACTTAAACATTAACATTCTATTATCATTTTTTCACCCTCAGGGCGAGTAAATGATGACAAAATGTCAATTTTATCCTTTTAAGATTATTCTCTGACAGAAATACCAGGACAAATAGCCCTCAAAACCAATGAGGAGTAAAAAACAGCATTTTCCCTTTCTTTTATAACTTTGCATGAGAGCTGTTATGATGGTCTGCATCAAAAGACAAGGAGAGGAGAGGAGGAGTGGTGAAGAGAGGAGTGAAGGTGAGTGGAAAGTGGAAGGAGTGACAGGAAGGAGCGACCGCAGAGAAGAACATGTTAGAGCTTTATATATGTGTGTGTGTGTGTGTGTGTGCGGATGAAAACATTCTGCAGAAGATTCTCTATGTATACAAAAAAAATTATATAAAATCTAATAGATTTAAAACAAATTTAAACGTTAACACTAAATTACTGGAATAGTTGAAACTGATTGGACTGCCAAGACATTTTTACAAAAATTGGATTGAAAATATAACCAATAAATAATGTAATAAATAACCAGTGTAATAATAACGCATTGGCATAGCAACTGTTACTTGTATTGTATTTTACAGCTGGCAGTAACATTCAAGCGGGTTCATTTTGTTGACTGTCGCTATAGAAACGGATAATCCCCAGTCTGAGGAGGTGAACAGCACCAAGTTGAACATCACGTGTTATCATCTCGGAATTACGGTAATTATGGCGTGAACGCAGCATAATTATCTGACTGGTTGAGATTTCTTTGCAGAATCAAGGGTAATGTAGTTTTCACCACGAGTTCTGCTGTAAACCAAACTATTTTAAAAATAAGTTGAAATAATGTGGGCAGATGGCTTCAACAAAAGCATTTACCATCAATCAACAACCTCGTAACTCACAGTAGGTCTGTCTTTAATAGTTTAAATTATTGTTTAAATCAATCCCCCTATAGAGAAAATGAATGGGATTTTTACATCCAGAACCCAGCTGTTCCCAACTTCACATACTATTTTTTTATTTGATTTTATTTATTTTATAAAAACAGTAGGTAGTACGCTAGTCTTTTATTTCAAACACAGTCAGAGACACACAGCCCACTGGCTTCAGACGATGCAAGTATATTAAATGTACATAAAGGGGCAGAAGAAAGGCTGTCCACAAATACCAATAATCCGCTGACCGTGTGTGTACACATGTCAGTAAATGAGTATTATTAATAATAAAAGACGTTATTCCTGAAATAGAATGAGAAAAAACAGGACCCAGGATTCAAGGCTTTTTGGGACAAAATGGATCCACAAAAACAAACCCTGCACACAACAATTTGATTTGACAGAAACAGTGAGTCACAGAACCTGAGAGACCTGAAAGACTGTTTTAATATGCATGGATATTGGTGTGCAAAGATTTAGATGTTCAAAAATGTGTGTAAACTAGGACAGCTAAAATTGTACTTGTAAGGATATGTATACACAGAGGAATGGCTTAACTATTAGTGCAGCAGGGAGACCGTGCCAAATTAGACAACTTCAAGCTGTTGTGGTCGCGCCGCGACAACAGTCGTGTCTGTTGTAGACATTACTATCTGTCACAGTGTTGCCAAGTCCACGTTTTTCCCGTGGAATTGGGCTACTTTAACACTGTTGCCGCGGGTTGAAGCGATACCCAATAACGTGTATTTTAGCCCCCGGAACGCGATTATTTTTTACCGGGGGACCCCTCGAAACGCGGACAGTTTGGGCTAGTTTTGAGTAGCAATTGGGCGGGTTTTGTTGTAAAAACCTGGCAACTCTTTCCGTCAAGCAGGTAACGTTATTATTGCGAACATAGCGGACTCGTCGAAAAATACATTGGCATCA